GTTTATACAATGTAGTGAAATTAACTCTCACAGGAGATGTTCTAATTTGTGTTTTTGTTCTCTTTTGGGTCTTTAAGTGGTTTGATGTGTGATCTTACTAAGTTATGGTTTGGTGTGTGGTCATATTACGTTGTGGTTTGGTGTGTGATCGTATTACGTTGTGGTTTTTGGACGCTTCTTTGCTTTCACGTCGATTACATAATCGTTTGCACCTTTTTCAGAAGTACATTTAACTTAGAAGAACATGGCTCTTGTTTGAAGTAGCAGTTATGTTTATTATTCGATGTTCTTCCTTATCAGGCTCTCAACATAGTAATCATTAAGGAGGGCCAGAATGATGCTTATTTCTTCGTTCTTCTTATTATCAAAAGTCCAGTTCTTTCTATAAACTAGACAGTCCTTGCTTCCTGTCTTTAAACTGTTATTTCTGTATTCTTGATATTTACCCATTTGGAAATGTTGCCCTTCAGTAACTAGCAAAGAATAAATCTTAATTCAGGGTTATTCTGTTATTGTTATAAGTGTCTGTCCTGTAGCTTGCATGTAATCGGTAGGTAATCCTAATAAGGCAGATTCAGAACGGTCGTATATTTTCACACTCAAACGATCGTTCAATAGCACTTATAACTGTTTCTCTGTCATGTCTTCTCGGAGTGTGATCACCCTTATCTATAACCATTTCGAAAAAAAATCAACCAATTAGTTAGTTAACGGTTAAACTGTTAAACTATCTAAGGAAAGTCGGTGGTATATAAAAAGGCTGCTCGCTGGATAACATCCTTACAATGTATAAAGCTTTTATTATACCTTTAATTGAGTATGGAAGCTGTCTCTTCTCCCAAAATAAACTACACAATAGTAAAGACGGAATCTAGAAGCTGATCAAAAAGTTTTATTCTAAAGACTCTACCCGCAACTCACTAACCCGACTCTCGCAACAACTCCAGAACTATGGCGTGTCTTTTTTTAACCTGAATAGTTTAAACATGTAGTGTGCTAACCGTATATGAGCATCTTTTCCCTATCTCCTGTTTAGTTTAGCCTCGCAGATCAGGCACTATCCGGATAGTAATTTTTTTTTCGGGTTTCTCCCGTTTTTCTCCCACTTCCAAATCTTGGATATTGGATTGACAGATTTCCACCCAAACAGTCAGAATTTGCCGAAATTGGGATTATGTTTAAGTATGAAATTGAAATCAGACGTCTATGGTTTTCCTTCTGGACTTTTGCTTGCTTAGTCTCCCTTATCACGCGTTCCAACATCTCAATCGTTCGGATGAATGTACCTACACACGTGTATATTCATATCGTTTAGTTGTACCCTCAAAAATCTCATACCACCTGTGGGGCGAGAAGTTATCTTTTGAACCCTGGACTTAGTTTGAGTCCGAGTTTAAAATATTTAAATCGAAATAACTGCTAAGTTAAAGTAAAATATCACAATTTCGTGTAATATAAGGATTATAGGATACCCCACAAGGACCTTGGCCTGACCTAACATTATGGTTTCATCATTATTCTTGATCTTGTATCTGAACTGTAAGGACGTTTTTCTTCCAGCCTGCTCTTTGTCCTAGCAACTGAAAGTTAGGCTTTGAATATCGAGTTCAGCCATTTCATTAAAGAATAAAATTGCTTTACGAATAACGTATTTACTCTAAATGTACACTCGTATTTACTTTCCGTCCATGTTTGAAAATATCACGTTCTACATACAACTAAATATCGCCCCCGTAGGTGCGAGTTTCTAGTAACTTTCTGTGGAGATGAGTTATGAGTTTTTGGTCATCATCAAATTTTGGTAGTTTGTAATCGTTTTTTATCGTAAAATGTAACACTGAATGTTGCCTGGCCAGGTAGTTCATGAATTCTGGATGCTAGTTTGTAGTGTGTAGCCATTTTACGAATGTGTCATAAAAATGTAAATAATTAGGAACTAAACTAGGTGAGTCTATAGGCAACCAACCATAACAACGATAGATATCTGATCACCACAAGCTTGACGTATACGTCTTTTTAAAACAGTTTAACTAAGGCTTTGTGTATTATTTTTCTTGCTTTATGAGCTTTACTAACAGTTGTTTTCAACACACTATTGGTGAAATATTATTAACTCACTTTTCTTCCTGAAAACCTGAGTAAGTTAATATAAAAAGAAAAAGGCAGCGACAATGTGAGTAAAAAGTAGGTAAATCTGTAGACATCTCGTTGGGCCAAACGATATTAATCGGCCCTTAGAACGATGTTAACAATATTGTTACGTCTCTGGTCGTTAGTTAATTATCCGTATAATTTCTTTTCCAAAAACCTTTAGCGATACAAGTCCTTTCTTAAATGAAACTGGTTTATTCTTTCTAAATACAACTTTGCAATACACTTAATTTCCACAGTCACGCTATAACAAACGCTATAATTCACAACGAACGTGTCACGTGTTCGACTCAACAATACTCTCTCTCTCTCTTTCCGCAGTTCAATTACTCATTACATTGTTGCCGTCACGTCTTGACCGTCTTGTATATAAAAGAACACCGAAATCTAATAAACGCCAGAGCATTCACGAACCTTCGAGATTATGACGTGTTAATAGCGTCATGTTACCCCCGCTGTCGTAACAGTGCCCCTTCCTTAGTATTGTTCGTCCCGAACAATAGCCACTTACACTAAACCAATAAACAATTAACAACAACTTAATTGAATGTACAGAATTTACAAACACAAAATTAAAATTCAACAAAGTCTCTTAATTTTACGGGACGTATCTTCTTCCATACTGGTCTCCGTCTCGTTGGCTTCTGCTTCAAGTGGAGTTCATCTGCTTCATCAGGAAACGTCCTATCATTGGTAACAGTCACATAAGTGTTAGTAACTTCATCAAGGGCTTCGCTGTTTCCCTTCTCAAAACCGAGTAGAGTTTCTTCTTCGACAGTGGCTTTTTCAGGTGACACGTCTTCAGCAGCGTCATTTATTCTGTTGTTCACTTCGTCCCAACTGAAATGTCCTGATCCATGATAATTCCAAAGCCTGTTGGCATGCGCCACTTTTGGCTTACCTCGCCGACCACATTTTATCTGGAAAGTCACGTCTGAGAGACGATCCACTATGTCATATGGGCCTTCCCATGGAGAAGACAACTTAGGAGACTTCCCTTTGGTCTTCCTGGGATATACAACCACACTTTGTCTCCTGGTACAAAGCTGACTTCAGTAGATCTCTTATCATAAGATAACTCCATCGAATCAGCAGACTTCTTCAAGTTTGAACGCACTTGATGG